TTCTGGTAAAGTTCAGCCTCTAACCAATTGTTAATGATAGCAGCATGTTGCAATGTAATGCAAATGCAATCAACATGAAGTTTCCTGCACAAGACTGGGAAACCTGTATCTAGCAATATGCTAATAGTATTTCTCTCAAAGCTGCCCAACAAGTTAGGCAGGCAATATCTGCTGGCAACCTCTCCTGATTGCAATGCCGAGTCGCCCTCAGCTGGAGAACTAGGCATTAACCCTGGAGATCCATGGCTGTACTGCTGTGCACAGTCCCTTTCGAATTTGGTGGGGTCTGGCCTGGATGCAGGGGTGTGCAGGGTTCATGCCAGGATTTGGAGAAGCCTTGTTTGGAACTGACTTCAGAGATAGAGCAAATGAATGGGAAACGAATGAGCTTTATGTTGCCTACAGTCATCTGTCTCTCTCACCTAAGGAGTCAGCTTTATGTGTATGGAAGGAGCTTAATTAAAGATGGGAAGAAGTATTTCCTTGAACTGTAACAGGAATCCCCAGCCAGGGGGTATTCTTTTAAATTGTTGGAGTTAAGAATAAAAGAAGGCCAGGAGTGGCTGATCACATAGGTTATGTCTCCAGCATAAAGTGAGCTGGAAGCAAAGAGATGGGAAGCATGGAGCTGCATCAGCAGTGTTTGATCTCTCCTAATCAGCACCACTGAGCTCAGGTGCAACACTGGGTTATGGCAGCTGGACTCAGGTCAAAATGAAGTCCTCTGGAGTTGTATGTGGCTTCGCAACTGTACTGGCTTTGTGTGGCAAGGTTCTGGTAGCAGGGGGGCTCCAGAGATTGCTGATGTGAGAAGCTGCCAGAAGCTTCTCCTATGTTCGACAGAGCCAATGCCAGCCAGCTCCAATCTGGAACCACCACTAGCCAAGCCTGAACCCATCAGTGATGGTGGGAGTCCTCTGTGATAATATATTTAAGAAGGGGAAAAAAGTTGCTGCACAATGGCAGCCAGAGAGAGAAGTGAGAATATGTGAGAGAAACAGCTCTGCAGACACCAAGGTCAGTGACGAAGGAGGGGAGGACGTGCTGCAGGCACTGGAGCAGAGATTCCCCTGCAGCCCATGGTGAGACAGCCGTCTCCCTGCAGCCATGAGGGGTAATGGGAGAGCAGAGATACACCTGTAACCCATGGGGGTTCATGGTTGTTGTAGTTTAAAGGCCACCACACAGCCTCTTGCTAAAGACCTTCTGGGCTGAGGCACGGACAGGGAGGGTTCACTTACCACTTATGGTCATGGGCAAGAAATAGACTTGACTTGGGAAAACACAAAAACAATTTAATTCATTAACAATAATAAAAAAAACAACAAAGTAACAAGAAATAGAACTACATCTTTAAAAAACGCACCTCTCCCCCACCCCTCCCTTCCTCCCAGGCCCACAGCGAATTCCTGATTTCTCTACCCTCTCACCCCTCTGCACCCTGCCCCGGTGGTGCAGGGGGCAAGGAATAGGGGTTGCAATCGGTCCATCACATGTTGTCTCTGCCACTCCTTCCTCCTCAGGGGAGGGTCCTCACAGTCTTCCCTGCTCCAGCGTGGGGTCCCTCCCATAGAAGAGTCCTTCACAAACTACTTCAACATGAGTCCTTCCCGTGGGGTCACAGTTTTCTCCACTAACTGCTCCAGCGTGGGTCTCTTCCACATATTCACGGCCTCCTTTGAGCACAGAGACCTCTTCCAACATGAGGTCCTCCACAGCCCCATCTCCATAAGCTGCAGGCAAGCTCTGCTCTCCATGGGCCGTACGGGGACAATGTGCGTCACCATGATCTTCACCATGGGCTGCAGGGGAATCTCTGCTCTGGCACCTCTTCCCTCTCCCTTCTCATCACTGACAGCATAGTTGTCCCCTCACATCCCGCACCTCTCCTTGCCGCAGGATTTTTCTCTGGCTCCTGAGAAGCTCCCGGCTCTCAGGCAGAGGCTGTGTTGTTTACTGGTTGATATACAAGAGGCTGGGCGGGCAGGCAGCTGGATGGACAGGCTGGCCGGGCCAGGCCCTGCCCAGGGCTGCACCGCCCACTCTATGCGCTGTGTCCCCAGTGTGTTATTCTCAGAGCCACTGACTGTTCCAGCCTGGAACTGGGGAAATCTCCAGCAGTTTCTCACAGGGTAGTGCGCCCCTCCCCTGCTACCAAACAAACTTGGAGCTGGGGCATTCTTACCCCCATTCCCCATGCCCCTGCGCTCCTCAGGGGGAGGAAGGAGAGAAAATTGGGAGTGAAGTTGAGCACAGGAAGAAGAGAGGAGTGGAGGAAAGGTAGTTTAAGATTTTGTTTTTATTTCTCATTACCCTGCTCTGATTTGATTGGCAATAAGTTAATTTCCCCAAGTTGAGTCTGTTTTTCCCGTGACTGATTCCACTGATTTATTTCACTTCCTCTGTAAGATATTCCCCCAGAACTTCCCTGACATCAGTTTAACTGCTTTGCCTCAGGAAATGTCAACGTATGTGCAAATTCTGTCTTTTCCAGGCCCTTAGGATAGTATACTCAGAGTTCAAAACCGTACTGCTTTCCCAGTGAGGCCAACTGGCTCTACATAGCATTTTTCAACTTTCAAAACCAAACTGCTCTTCCCCACAAACAACTGTTGTTACCACAAGATATTAAGATGTATCCTTCTATAAAGTGCTGGGAGCAGAAAGTGGACAATGATGGTGCAGCTGAGCAAGTGATGAGATGACTAGACACATAACACTGCAATTTGCAACTGCCTGCAAAAGCCAGCCATGGCTTGCATTTTACATCAGGGCCACCACCCATCACTGCATAGTAATGCTCTGTTGAAAGGTGAGGTGAAGCAGTTTGGCAACCTGAGCAAGTCCTCAGCTATGTTCACTTTCTCCATCGTAACCAGCGCCTTTCAGCACTTAGGTGTTCCTATACACACGCTCCCACACACGTTTTCCCATGTCCTCCCATGCAATTTCTTGCCCAAGGCCCAGAGGCCAGCATGGGTGGAACCGAACAATAGACCGTAATGGCGTTCATGCCAGAGGGAGCCTTACCAATACTTCTCCCTCACATGCTGCAAGATGGATAGGTTTCATACTGGGACTGGTAGACAGAAAAGTGAGAAATAAACCTGAGCTTTTAATGGACAAGCTACCCTGTTTATAAATGACCAATATATGGGTTCGCTTTCTGTAGACTAAAACAGCTTTGTATCTCTAACATCTGCTTGCCTTGCATAGGCTGGGACACCTGGGCATTAGTCAGGAGTTGCAAAAAGATGGGCCCCACCCTGAGGCAGTGTTTCTCTCTGCTTTCATGGGATATCCCTTCCTGGAAAAGCTATTACAAGGAACTCTCAGAGAAGATGTGCTTAAAATTCATGTGGATGTGCTAAATGCTCTGATCAGCACTTACATAGAGTGTGACCTCCATTGAATGAAGACTGGCTCCTGAACTGGAATGTTTTCAAGAACCTGAAAAAGCTGAGAGAGTCGTGCTTGAGTTTTTCTCCTTCAGGAAATCTCATTCAGGCAGAAAAAGAGGAATGGGGCAATCTGCCAGAGGTTTTCATCAGCCTAGCAGACTATAAGCAACTAGTCCATTTTGCCTACATATAGACTGCCTGTGCAGTTGCTTACTCAGTCATCAACTCCATATGCAATGCCCTGACCCACATCCTACAGGAGAACCAGTAGAAACCACAGTGATGACAGTCCTGGGTAACTCTGACCCCAGCCTCCAAAACAGATCAGAAAATGATGGGATGTGTAAATCCTTTCCCAGTCATTCAGCCATCACTGAAGTTATTGAGCTGGTAAAGATCTTTGCAGGCAATTCCTTCTCAGACAGGATGGGTGGCAAAGTAATTGCTTCAATTGTTACAAAAGTGAACACACAGACTGACGCTGGAGGTATTGCAGGCATTTGACACGGGTTTTATAGTGCTTTATTCTGAACAGTAATTAGGTAAACCAGTACTGAACATATGCAGCAGGCAGTCTTTACATAGAAATGAAACCTGATTACCATGATTCATATGGAATTTGGAGACTGGTAATTACAATGTTAATCTCACTCAAGTTGAAGTCCTTATTTCTTTCTGATGCCTCAAACATTAAGTTAATTGTATGGAGTCTCCTTAATGCTGAATCCAGAACTAGAAATGGCAGATAATCTGTGTATGAAAAGTGTGGCACTTCCAGTATTAATCCAACTGTTTGCTATACTAGAATTGTATAATGTTCTTTTTCTCAGGATATATACAACAGGGCTCCTTGTAGCTGCAGCGAACTGGTCCCCTCTTCCATGTCTGAAGGACAATCAGTTAAAAAAATCCCACGCAGCAGAGTCCAACCTCCCCAGTCTATGAACTGACATAGCTCCCATTGAAGAGTCTTCTGGGTATGCATTCTGTCCCCATGATTACTGCCTCTTGCATCCATAAGTCTCAGTGCAGGTGCTGTTTCACAGATGCAAGCCCTGACGCCAGCCTGAATTGTCTAGCTACGCTGCAGAACTTGGGCAGTGTTTCACTGGGCACTGGAACCCTGGACCACCAGAGTGCAGCCAGGTACAAGGGGAGGGCTATCACACCACATGTCCACATTTTCCCCTTCTAGGCAGTAGGCATCTGCAAAGAGTAGGACACGAGGGAGAGGGTTTGAATGTAGTAGCTCTTCCTCCCAGAGCCCCTTCCAACTCCTGGTCTATCTAAAACAAGCTCTCAGTTCACTTTGTTTTGGGAAAAAGATGTAACAGAGGAACAAAATGTACTTGGTGCTGAGGCTGGGATACTTCTCAGTAAAACACGATGTGTTCTTCACAGTGGGAATCCTTCAGCTTAACGGGATGAAACACAAGGTGATAAACAAGTTCTGCTGCATATGTAGAGTACATTGTATTACCCAACTGATATATAACCTCTTAGCTTTCCTTTCAGAGGTGTTAGTCAGGATGCCAAGCTTTACAGGAACACACACCACCATAAATGTAATTGTGCTTTTTCATAATGAATACGCTCTGCTTAAGGGGAACAGAATCGGCCTGAAAGAATCACGTGGCGAGTTTTGTTGTGCCTAAACAAAAAGATAAATGGATGGTCAGCTTTAAATTCATCTTTGTGTTGCAGAATCCGATATCCTGGTACCTCTCGGGACTCGCCACCTTGTTCATTTATTTCCAAAGAGACTTTATGAATGATCTTTGACAAAACCACACCTTTTGTCTCACACATCTCAGAGAAATCTGATGCACTCTCATTGAAGACATTTGTCATTCCCAGGCTTTCCAGAAGTGGCTTCAGGTCATAATTACCTTCCACGCTAAACTTTGGAAGAAATACATTCACTTTGGTGTTGGCCATCATGCTGGGATTGGTCCACTGTAATAATGTCTCGGGGGTGAGTGCCTTTTCCAGCTGAAGACATAAAGGAACAAAGGAAATCAATTAGCAGTTCAAGGAGAGAGAATAAAACAAAAGTCCCAAAAAAATAAAGTCCAGAAGGCAACCTTTGCTTTTGAATTCACAACTGTAGCATTCAGGGTTAACATACTCTCAGTTACATTGATGCAAGTATGATTTAATCCATAGTACAGGTCTCTGGAGCAACTCCACTGTATGTGTGTACTCTGACTACCAGTCCCTTGGAAGCTTTTGATAGGCCATCACCTCAACAACCATATGAAAGAACCTGAGAAAGCCAGTCCCTACCCAGGTACACCCAGCCAACAGAAAGATCCAAAAGTCGTTGATTCTTGACCCTACAGAGTAATGAAATTGCTGGTATTTGGGACAGAAAAAGCCTCCAAATCCAGAGCCTGATCTCAATCAAACATGCAGCTGTTTGATCAGTTTTTTAAAAACTCAGAAGTGAGGCGCCAGAATTTGGGTCCACAACAACTTGGTATCAGGAAAGACCTCACTTGCATTTTAAGATAAGTGTGTTCTTTTGTGGGTAATTTACTCCTACATATAAAAGTACCTTACAGCTGCAAAGGCAGAGTCCTCCTGCCTTTAAAATTTATGGCCAGTTGTAGCGAACTACAAAGGAGACTTGCATGATCATCTGTCTCTTAATCCTTAAACTTTGAAGAGATGTAAAAATATGTTCTAAAATTTTCATAGAGAAATTAAACAAGAAATAGTTGTTCTTTAGGAAATGCCTTATTCCTTTTCAAATTTTTGTGCAATTGTAATAAAAAATGGCTCATTTTCAGGCATCTCTGCTCAAAACTAAAACTTAGAGAAGTGTAAAACCTTAGTAGAATAAATAATGGATACACGTCAACTGAAAAAAATTAGGACATCAAAGTAAATAATGTCAGCACTATTGAGTACCCAGTAAGTATGACTTTAAGCACCTTTCTATAGAAAGAACAAAAATCTTAAGATGAAAATTATTTTTTGGGTCCTGATTTCCAAATTGATGCAGATTCCCAAAGTTCATCATGGGCACCTTCTACACTTTACACTGACTTCTGTGCACACGCTATCTAACAAAGTCTTGTTCACAACCTCACGCTTGGCCACAGTGGAAACAATGAAATCACAAGTATGAGATCGTGACGAGAGAAGCAGGATGAGAAGGTAAATTCACAGGAAACTTATTTTTTGTTTCCTTCTATATAGTGTCTAAATAAAAAAAAACCTCCCATAAGCGTATGGCATTATAACCAGGCTGTTTCCAAGCTCACCTGCTCCAAGCCAGTGGTCTCATCTTCAATCTCTTTGGGCAGCAGAATGAGCATGCTTATATGTTTGTTAAGGCATGGAAGCTCAAGGATAGCAACATTTAATTCTTTTACATAGCCCAGGCAAAAAGTAGCTTCCAGATTCATCATTTGCACTGGTTTAGTTTCAGTCTGCAAAACACAGAGGAACCAATATAGCATTCTTTTTAATTCACAAATAAGATGGCAAGAGAGAAGAGTTTTGTAAGCTTGCATGGAAGTGGTACATTGAGTTACCATCAGAGAACTTGTTGGCTTCTATAGGTAATGAAACCAGCTGTAAGAGACCCTGTTGGCTTTTTACAGTAGGCAGCTTTGCCAAGAAAAGTGGAACAGAATTCTACTTCATACAACAGCAACATATTGGGGATGCGCCTTAAGAGATAATTTTACCTAATATCAGTGGCCCTTCATGCCTGTTTCACCGAGTGCTACAAACTATACTGTCCACCAGGCATCGTAATGCCAGTAAGAGTCAAGCACTGAGCACATCTCAACAGTGAATGTCAATCTGTTCATACAAATAATTGATATTTTGGTTCAGGAGCTGAAACAGAATAAGAAGAAATTTCAGGCTTACCTAAAACCCTATGTCTTTGCTTTTCACGAATGAAAGAAAACAAACAAACAAACAAACTCTGTCTCATAGGGAAAACTAACAAAATGTTCTGTTCACCTGGAAACTAATTTAAAATTCAAATTCAGTAGAAAAATGTTACTTAAGGAAAAAAAAATTGAGAAGTTTCCCTTAAAAATTTTACTGTTGGTTGTATAATTTTAAAAACTTTTGTAGCTGAAACTGCTGGCTGATGTTGTAATTTATGAATATTTTCAGTGAACCTAAAACTTCATCTTTTCTCATGCACATATACATATCTATCTATATGTTTGTTATATATTTGGAGTATAATCTCTTTATCTCACAAATGTTGCCCAGCTTTATATCTCGGCTTAAAGTTGACTGTCTAATGACAATATTGATCACTGGTCACAGATTCCTGAAGGCAACAGCCATGGGTGCTGCACCCACTTGGACCTGGTGCCTAGCCTGGGCTTGATACACAGAGGGCTGCAGTCCTGAGCCCGACTGCAAAGAGGGAGATTGATGGGGTGTCATCCCTGAAGAGGAAAGCAGAGGGCCAGGCACCTAAGGGGTATAGAAAGAGACCCCACGGGCGTAGATGTTTCACAGGCTCTGTGACCAGGGGAAATGCAATGTTTTGTGCTTCACCCCTGCTGGTTTTGGGATGCAGCCTCTGGTACAGGCTGCAGTCTCTTGGAAGAAGCTACCCATGGGAATGTGGACCTCCTTGTAGGCAACGGCTGCTTCTGATCACTTGTACTCAGTTCCTGTTGTCTAAATATACTGCCAGGACAGTCTTTTCACACTGGGCCTTTGAAAGATAGAGGTGAATGCAGCAGCAAAGTTTTGAAACAACATAACAAGCACACAGGTTTAGGGACCCTTGCAAGAGCAAATAGGTTTAGATAGAGTCTAAGAATGCCATGGTAATAATAAACGTTTCTCATTTTCTCTTGTTGGGATTTCCTTAGATCAAAGTTTGCATTTGCTTGAGTGGAAACAGTACTCTATTTTTTCAGAACATACCTTGTTGACTTTAAAAGGACATTCTTTGACCTCTGCCTCTGGGAACTTCTTCATCCAGTTTGTGACAAAATAAGCTGCATTAACTAGGAGGATCTGAGTCTGGTCACTTACACTATCCTCATTCAAAATATTCTCCATTTTGCCTGTTAACAGGTTTAAGACGGTTGTTATTACAACAATACATTATCAATTATCAGTTGCTTCAACTGAATATGGAAATATTTCACTGAATTAAAAAATCTGTGTCCTGCACCTCATAGATAAAAGATTTAAGTTCTGATGGAAAATTCCAAAAAGAAGCACTTACTTAAAATTGCAGCTTGATGTTTGAAATGTGTTTTGAGATCAAGGCAGATCTTCAAAGACATGTTTTCTTGGCTTATATAGCATGGAATCAAAAATATGTGTACTGCTTTTGTTCAGTACCTTAAAGAAGGTACTGAACTTTCAGTGAAATTCAACAGGTGTAAGCAAAAAAGCATTTGTCATTTGGAGAGCAAGACTCAAAGGGAAGTTCTAGGTTAGCAACTACTCATTTGTAGACTGACACATGACAATAAAATAACCAGAATAACAAAAAATGCTGCTCTGATTACAGTTCATAATACTGTTACAGACTTCAAAAGGAACATGCAGTTGTTGTCCCCTCCCTCACTCTGCTTTAGACCTGTTCAAGCACTTCCGTAAAAGATACTGAATTCAGAGCACTGGGGAGGCAAGTCCTGCCTTCATGCACTAATTGCACAGGCAGGGCAAGGTGCTTCCCCATGGACACCTGTGCCAGCCTGGGAAGGACCAGACTCACGCACCCATGTTCTCATATTTGTACCACATGAGGGCAAGAGGCAGCAACTGATGCCAGTTACCCCTCCACGGGCTGCAGACAGGCTCTGTGATGGGTGCTGCATGATCCCGTGGGCCAGGGCAGGGCTCCTGCCCGCCCCAAGCTGGGCAGGCTCTGCCCAGGGACCCTCATGGTCACTGATGTGCACCTCCTGTGACTCGGTGACCCAGTGGCTGGTGGCTCAGTGGTACAGAACGAAAAGTGCCCACAGCCGCATTTCCACAGGAAGGCAAATAGGAGACGCACATCTGCTTGTGGTACCCGTGCTGGCAAAAGCAGCTGAGCTGAGCTCAGCTAAGCTATTAATTAACAGACTGGAATTCAGAGTTCAGCAAGTATTTCCCATTACAATAAAACTTTAAAAAGAAACCACGGCCTGGGTTTGATGTATTGATGTCAGATGTTTGTAGAGCACCACAGCCAGGAGCTGTCGTTCTCCCAAACTGTCCTGCTGCCGTCATATGTGAGCAGCTTTCCCCAAGGCTAAGGCAAGGTCAGTCTCACATTTCCACCATTAAAAATGCCGCAGCAGTAAAGTTAGCGATTTCAAAACAGGCTGAGGTTGCTAATCCTCATGAATCCAAATAATAGGTCTAGTCCCATTGCTTTCACTATGCATTTACTTATAAAAGCACTAGTAGAGGTGTCATGAGGACAAAGATCTCTTTCATCAGAGGCAAACAGCATCCCCAAGGTTAAGCTGTACTCACCATCAGTTAGATCTGAAAGAGACTTGTTGATCTTCTGCCGGGTTTCCTCAGTTTTTTCTTTGAACTCCACTAATTCTAGTTCAGATGGAAAAGGCCTCTTTGTGGAGTTGACGAAGTCCTGAAAGACACAAGGTGCCAAAGTCATCCTTGGTTAAATGCCACCCACTCAATGGCTCTTTACACAGCCTGCAACACCAGCATCCTGAGCTTCACCACAGGGTAGTTGGGGAGCTTATTATGATGGACAGCTATTAAATAACACCAGGTGACAACCAGGATGCACAGCTGCATTCGGCACATCGCTCCCATGGTTGTCTTCCATGCAGTGGTGTTACATCAGCAGCTAAAGAAACTCTGGTACTGCAGGAGTGATCACGCTGCCAGAGTTAGAAAGGATAAACAACCCTCAGTCCAGGCCTGGATAACAGAGAGGACTGAGATGAAGGCCACAGGCTGCTCGCATCATGTCTGTTCTCTCTGGATGAGACATTTATTGCTATGGATGGGTACTGGCCTTTGCTGTAGCAGAGGCTTAACAGCAGGCACTCTGACTATAGCTCATTTAACCATGTTGAGTTTTCTGAAACTTCAGTTTTAGGCTGATGTTGTCGTTGCTTGGGGCCCTATTCAAAGGCAACTTTGGGAAACAAAAAACCCACAACATTTTTCTCAGTTATTTGCAAGGTCTATATGTTATAAGGCCAAACAACACCTTCCTCACTTGCATTGTTTCAATAGACAGGCTTCTGCCTCCTCAGACAGATTAAGAAAATTACAGTTTATGCAGTAATTACTTGGGTGTGTGAACTGGACACACACTTGCATTGCCAACTTTTTTTAAAACTCCTTTTCCTTCATACTGACAATGCAAAGACCTTGATGTGGCATAGAAGCTATGTTGCATTCAAAACCTACTGAGCCTACTGACCTAAAGCATATTAATGAAAGAATTAGAAGTGTTGTAATAGTTGCATAGCATGGGGTCAAGCAGCACACTCATCCTTCTACAAACTTTTATGGCAGCAGAGAATGTTATGCTGTTCATCATCTAAGTCTAGTCAAGTAACAGCCACAAGTGAGAGAATTTATTTCAAATAACATTGCAGTCTGACACTGTAACCCGTCAACATGCTGGGCAAGCAATTCATAGCACCAGGGCTTTTCTGCACTACTTACTGTGGTAGGATTAAGAGACTTGTCTACAAAGAGCCGTTTGACCATTTTCAGTGCAAAGAAAGAGCTGAGTTTGGAAACATCTGAAGTTACTGTTTGAAACCCAAAAGAGACGTCTTTGACATCTTGTAAATGGAGTACCTGTTAAATGAACATAATAAAATAATAAGCATCTTTATTATTATTATTACCTAAACATTCATAATAGCTTAGCAAAAAATAATGCTAGTTTGTGACCAGAGCTGTGGCTTTTCATATTTAAGCTAACAACACAGCCTCTTGCTGTTGTTACTCAAAAAACTTTTATTTATTTGGCATCCTCACATAAATCTGAGAACCTGATTCTACCAGAACTTTAACCAAACGCATTTATTTCCTGTGAGCAGTCCAAATAAATCAACAGAGCTGTTTATGCTGGTGATGTGGCTTGGTCGATTAAAACTCTGTAGTTTGGAGTCATAATGTTTTCACCAAACTTACATTCCTGTCCAAAAACCTGGAAATTTAAGCCAGACAAATGAGGGTCCCAGTTAGTCTCCATTCTAGAAGTGGGTTACACCTTTAAAAATGTTTAACAGATCATCAGCTTTTCTGATTGCTGTGACTGATATATGACATCACGTGATATTTCAGCAAAAATCGATCAGATAACTCTGTCTGGTTTGGCAGGCAAAGTACGAGCTGGAGGCAGGGCTGCTGACCCATGCCTGGCCAGCTCCCAGCTCCTGGGAATAACAAGTCCAGTTCTAGGAAGTGGTGGCATGACCTAAAACTTGCTGCTTTTGGGCACCAGAGGTGAGAGATTACTGCTGGTTTTGTTTGAAAATAACCCTGTAAATATGAATTGAACTTCTAATGACTACTTATTATAGGGTCTTTGATGGTGGCTGTTTCATGACAGGCAGCCTGCCCAACGCTCCTCACCTGTCTGAAATTCCTGCATGAGGCACAGCAGATGCTAGCGGCTTTCTTTCCCTTTATCTCTCACTCCTGCTCCTTCTCCCTGAACACATCCTGTCTTCACAGGCACAACAATTTGCTGCTCTGCCTTAGCCACCTCACTGTGTCTTCCCATCTCCTTGGTCAGTGGGAGCAGAAGGAAAGGACACAGCAAGGACACATGTCCTGCTGTCCCAAGGACACAGCAACAGCACATATCTCATAGCCAAACCCCATGGGCATTTCCTCAGAAACAACTTTCTCAACTTATTTCCTTTTCCTCCAACACTTTTACTTCTTAGTACGCTAAGCACAGAAAGATTCTGTGCCTGGAAACTACGTGTGGGGAGAAAGCTGTGCTGCTGCAACTGCACTACCTGGGAGAGCTTTGAGCACGAGTTTGTTGACTGATATTGCAGAGTCAGACTGCCAGACTGGCTGCTTTTGTATCTAGCATTTAATACCCAAGAATTAAGTCAGGGGCAGGCAGAAGCTAGAACAGAGATGGAAAATACAAGATATTACATTTAAAAACATACCAAGTTCTCCTTATCATAGTCAGCACTTTTCATATACCAATTGAGAAATATAAAACAAACACGCTTGTGCAACAGAACTCCATTTGTGGATGTCTACATTAACTTATTATGGGATGGCTCAAAGCAAATTGCAGACAGAAGTGAAAATTAAATTAAGCACAGGTTAATATTTTGAACTCTCCTATTAGAAATACAACACTCAAATTTTGAAATGGTGAGGAAGCTGCAGGCATAATTTAAATTTAAAAAAAAATCTAGAGTTAATTTTTTTTATATTTTTTAAAAATAGTTCTGTTTGGAAAAATCTGCAGTGCCTGGAAGATCTTCATGGATATATTGCTGGGCAGCACTGCGAATAGCACAAGACTCATTTTAATCTGTGGCGTGAGTGGGGGCACAGGAGGCTGTGCTCGTGGGTACCTTCGGAGAACGAGGAAGTACAGGGAGGAATTTCCAAATGAGGGAAAATGTATCAAAATATGCAGAGCATCCCTCAGAGCCAGGTGATAATCAGCATATAAACGCACACTGAATTTGCTTCTCATTCACCTTTAGGTAACTGCAGAAACCGTGGCCACCCTCACTGGGATAAAAAGGAACTATTCAAGTCTCTGCTCACATGGAGGCAACAAAAGAGGCTGCAAGGCTGCCTCTCTGTGCCACAGAGCTTGATAAACTGACTGCATCATGACTGCCATGCTGCATCATGGTATTGGAAACCCCTTCAACACCATGAGCTGCTGGTAAGGAGAAACATCATTGAAGTTGTGCCCTCTGCTACTGCATCCACCTCCTCTTAGCAGGCAAAGGCAAAGTGTGAGTGCTGCTAAGCATACTTGTTGCTGACACATAATGGCAAAATTACTTCCAATTCTATAAAGCTTAGGCATGCTTGAATAATCAAAAAACAATTATCCAGAAAATGCAGTGATCTTAACTGTGACTTGCAGCCACAATCAACACTACACTAAAAGAAGACAAGGCTTTAATGGAAATGCTGAGGGCTCTGCCATGTGCCCTTCCACCTTGTATGCATTTGAGAAAGCTTTTTCTTTATGCCAGATTTTCGACCTCTTTTGCTCTTACTCTTTCCATGGAGCATGGAATTGTTCAAGAATTTTGCATGGATGGTTTGCATCCTAGCTTACAAGGGAACCACAGGTCCAGTAGAATATTAAGAATAAATAAGAAAGCTGCCTCCAACAGCCACAGAATTTTGCAGCAACAGAACAAGATGCTGACAGCTTACCTGTTTCATTTGGTCTGCCGTATCACCTCTTGTAGCTTTATATGCCAGAGCCAGAGATGTTGAGATACACAGTGGGGCAAAAATAATATTAGCTGTTTTGTCCTTCTCGCACAGTTTTTTGAACATATCAACTGCAAAGGCAGTGTTTGCTAGTTGCAGAGCATCCATTGTCATCCTGAAACAAAAAGGGAAAAGAGAGATGACTCGGAGTGTAATCCCAGCTCGGGGCTAGGTCAGAGCACTGAAAGAGGCTGGACACCACTACGGAGACTGTGCAGCTTGAACCTTCAGGGAGAGGAGAGGAGGGCCTGGCCGAGCCCACTCAGCTTCAGAGCACACCGGCAGCTCCTGAGGAGCAGGGAAGGTCTCATCCATGTCCAATCAAGGAAATTAGAGTGGTTCAGTAACAGACATCATCTTCAAGTGACAGCTGGCAATGCCACGTGTCACACTGAGCCAGCATTACCAGAAGCACTTGGGAAAACCTGGGTAGGTCAAGGTGACCTGGGCATATTGAGTCAAATTGGATCACACATGAATTTAATCTGTTTTTAATTGATACTTTTAAAATTTGCCAACTTAGAAGGTACTTTGCCTATGCTCTGGGCTCTCCTGGCTCTCAGACAGGCCTTTAATAATTAGTCTCATAATCTTTCCTGTCTCTTCCTTCATGGCTAATTGTTCATTAAAGCTTTAGCTTTGGTACATGTCCTTCCTTTAAGGGATGATTCCCCATTCTCCCTAGCCTTGTTAGACGTCTCCAGAAAGCTGTCTGGTCCTGTAGGTTGAGATTGTCCTAGGAACTTAAAGGAGGCCTCCCAGGTAAATACTTCTGTGTGCCCACTCATCACTTACACTGTTTTAACTGCAACTACCCTTTCCCTAGGTCTCCTTAATAACTGCAATTGCCACAGGGCTGTTAGGTAATCTGTGCAGTCAGGAATGGGGCGGGTGGTGCCCAAGGGACAGTTGCTGCAGTCCATGCTCTGGGATCTTCCAGACTGCTTTCACATACCTGAAATTGCACTTTGGTAGAAGCATGTTTGTGTAGATTCAAGCTAACAAGGCAGAAGCACAGAATTTCAGTCCATAGGACAAGTCTGGCAAGCACACAGAAGATGACCCCCTTGGCATAGTGAATTTGACACTACTCTGCCCCCAGTATCATGTATCCCTAAAAAAAAGGCAATATGTTAAAACTGGTGTTGAACAGCTCCATCAAAGCTATTGACAGAGGCAGAAAGGAAATGGAAAAGATGAATATTAGGAGAGACTTCAAAAGGCGTAAGATTTCACACAAAATCTAAGAGGTATCTCCAGCTTTTGCTTTCTCCAGGAAAAAAGGCAAAATAGTGGAAATCAAGTATGATGTGGAAGGGTGATTTAAAAAGGTGTGTTCTTATGCAGACATATACCTATCTGCATTTTAATTTCAAGCTCCAACACTGAAGATCTAGGGGTCCTATTTTACCCTATTATGAAAGTCAGTTATGTCTTACATTGGTAGGAGGTTTGCTAGTCTTTTGAGAAACACTTTAAAGACAGGGATTTCTCTCCAGTAACGGACTGCTTCCTACTGCAGTCTCAAACATTTCCTTACCTAGTTCATATCATTTGCATCCTAGCCAGGAAAGATCACACTAAGAGAGAGCACCAAGGTACGAGAAGACAGAAAGGGGAAGAGGGAACATATGGGCAGGGAACTGTCTCCATCCAGGTTCCTTTCTCGACCACTCACTCTCATTCTGGTTTGGGAAGGCATTTTGAATGAGAACAAACTCCTGTTTGAGTGCATGTGTCATTCTGCTCAAACTTCTGACTTTGCTGAACATCTGACACCACTGTACAAAAACACTGTGGAGCAGCTGTGGTACTTGACAGTAGTGAATTTCTTCAAAATAATCTGTGGTATTTACACATTTTTATGGGAGCAACAGAATGGGTGCATAATTTGCCTGTGACACAGTAAAGAAAACACTTTGATTTACTCATAAAGCCTGTTTGATTAGAGAAGGCCTTTTACAAAATAAATGTCTTTTTTTTTTTTTAATTTTAATTAACTTACACATGTTCCTGGATCAGTTGGGTAAGGCAACTGGTTTATTTGGCAACTGGTGTGTTTGGGGCTAAAAGATGCTGTATAAGAGGTTACAGAAATGCATTGTGCAATCTAATTAAGGAAAAAAAAAAAAGATACTGGCATAAACCCAAGGATTTTTAAATCCATGTTTGAAAAGCACACCTAACCAGCACTGCACAAAAAGTTCTTAGTGTTAGTATTAGCAACAAACTGTTTACTAACAAATCCACTATTAAAAAATAAAATTGTCTTGAAGAGGGGAAACATTAAATATTTATCACTGGAGAAAGTTACCTCCACATAAAATTATAGAGGAGTATGCTTTGCAACACCTAGAGTCTTTGCCAGACCCTGAATTCAGAATGGGCCTGGCCCATCTTCCAGTATCCCGGCAGTGCCCAGCAGCTGCTTGGCAAAGAGAGGTCGTCCATGTGGGATCCCATTTCACAGAGTCAGCAGGCATCGAGCTGATGTCAGAGTGAGGTTCAGGAAACATCTCAGAGATCTTATGGGTGTAAAGGGAGAACCAAGTGCCAGCCCAGCACTGCAACCATCTATCTTATTTACACAGTCACGATTTCTCATGCATCAAAGCAACTAATTACCAGAAAAGTCAAACTTGCCAGAAACCACGGGCTCACTGCACATATTAAAGGAGGAGAGCTTTGAGCAGAACAGTGGCAAAAGACAGTTAAAACAAATTTGAAGGACTGAGACTGCCGATGAGGGAGTAACTTGGAACAACAGAGGCAAAGGAACAAATGTAAAATAATCTATCCTTTAAAATGCCTCTCTGCAGTTGCTCATCCCAGACGTGCACCTTTGTGCCTGTGCATGACTTAAATCAACTCCCTTGCACAGGCTTCCTATCTTTCCCATTCACTCAACCATTCACACATGAACACACAGTATGTATGTATACCTTGTCTCCCCCTCTTTCCTTCTCTCCCCTCCTCTTCATCCCCCCAGTTAAAATGTGAAGATTTGGGCAGGTACAAACTTCCCAGGCATTTTTTACTGAGGAGCTGGTGGAAAATTACCCAAGGAACCAAAAATGTGTAATTTGACACTTATAATCCTCAAGAAGACAAACAATATGGAGAATCTCACAATGCAGAATGAGGCATGCGGTTTACCTGAAAACAGTTTTATTTGCTAGTAGGGTAGAATACCATTCTTCAATGCTGACAGCCTGATATTATTCTATTTAGGCCTCTGGATCTTCCTTACAGGCTAAAAATCAATATGCAATTGTAACCACTTAAAAAATACTTCTTGTTTCTTTCTGGCTTAATATTGCAAATGCTATGCTGTCATTCTAACATTAGTATTTTCGGCTATATTGGCAAACCTAGGGCGACTTTAAGATGCGTATGTGCTACCTGTGTTTCATTTACTTGGGTTGCATGAGATTCAGAATAAGAAAATAAAATAGGAAATTTTGCAAAATTGAATTAAACTCTTCTTCCTTATACCAGTGAAAAGCTGTACCATGGCTTAAAAACTCTTATTTTCTGACCTTGTTAGTAACTCTGATACTCATGACGGTCATTCTTGAAAATGAATATTACAAAATCTTAAATCTTGTTAAAGCCTTGAGTGTCCCAAGCCTTGTGAGTCCATTAAAGCCCGTTCCAGTCAAGTGAGCAGGGCTGAGGCTCCCATCAAGAGGAAAGCCTATTAGCTGCCCATTAGGAGTCTTAGAAATCAGTCCCAGCTCCTGAGTCAGTAATCACAGGGAACCCTCAATCAGGGAGGAGTCAAAAAACTGAAAATGAAATTTTAAAAAGGCCTGCTGCGTGGATTCTTCCCGAGTCCCTCCTTTCCCGGGAAAGCGCTATGTCAGCATTTCCAGAGAGGCCCGCGGCACTGGGGCATGTTCTAAGCACAGGTAGCTTGTGATCCACCCATCTCTGCTTAAAACTGTGACTCTGCCACAGCATTATAGAAACATTTTCAAATACAGAAGGGAGCTGAAAAGCTCCTGAACTAGTTTAGAAAAACCTGATTTAAGCTTGTTTATTGGTATAAGATGCCATTTTTGCTTAGTCAGTCTTGAATGCAACAGCAAAAACAAAAGCAAAACAAAAAAAACAACAGAGAGGCATTGTTTACTATTCACTTACTAAGAGAAAACCTAAACATAGCTTATCTTTTAAAAATATAATCAGGGGAATAGCAATGTCTGTGTGGAAATGTCTGACAAGTCAATTTAGCTATACGGTAGGGATAATCTGATAAAGCAGAACAAGTATTTATTTAATTCTTGTCTCGGTTAAGCAGTCCTTCTAGGAGAAGACACCTGCGGCAGATAAAGCGTGGACAGTGCTGGCCATTCCGTGCTGGGGGCCATGTATTGGATTTATAGCTTAGGAGCTGTGAGTGCCAGTGCTGTAGTCTCTCCAGTTCAAACAACTCCCACGGAGAGAATACATTATATGAAATAAACCACACGCATGTTTCACGAGTGAGGCATTAATTTTTGAAACTAGCTCAAGCATTTAACATGACCCCACTTCAGCTCTTACTCAGCAAACACAAACTATAAAGGAAATAAAAGACTTGCGTGAGACTTTTCTTCTTACTTTTACACAAATGACAACTCTCCACCTGGCAGACTACCTGTCTATGCAACAATGACACAATGTCCTCTGAACAGGTATTTCTCTGAGGGACGCAAAACATCAGACTGATGTGGGACCAAAGCACCTCTTATGATTGGGGAAAAAGCACTTCAGCAATATAGCTGGGAAAGTCACACGGGGAAGGTAAAGAAAGAAATGAGCCACACGATATGCTTTGTTGAACCTCAATAGCCAGTGAATTCTTCAAACTAAATAGTCACACTGAAAACAAAATGGTAATTACTGGACCTAGGTTCCTGCCCTTCCCTTTAAACAAGCATGGATTAGTCACTTGACGAGTAAGTCAAAGCAAACAGTGTAGCATGTACACACCTTTGCAGAAAATGCAAGGAAATGCACCTCTGTAACAGACTTACAAAACAGACTAAATCCTACTCTGACACAGCCAGCATTTTCACGGCATCATACACAACCTGCTTTTTCTGATATGCGGAAAGCCATTTGCAATAAACCACAGGAAGTATAAATATTTTAAAAATTCCTAATGCCCCTGCTGTCTCACCTGACAGATCCTATTCACCACTTCCAATTACTCTATTCAGAGGGCAGAAGGATAGCATGGCAAATGCAGCAGTTTTGGGATGAAACCAAAACATGTCTGTTTGGGAAGGCTTTTTTGCTCCCTTAATTCCGCATTATATATTTTTTCACAAATTTCCTTATCCCACTCTCTCTACACGATTATGCTTCATAATGAAGATTTCTTAACTGTTAGTTAGGCATTAATTAAAGTACCAGAGGAAGGCAAAAAGCTGTACTTACTTTGAAAGGCTATAATCCCAGGAAACGAATCAATGAAATGGGTACAGCACGAAGAACCAGCTACCTGTGGTGAAACCCTGCCGAGCAGGAGACTCTGTTAGCTTGCCTGCTCATTGACACCACTCCCACTTTCCCAACCTTAATTTGTGCACACACATACTCCCTCTCACTCTTGCTTTTTTTTTTTTTTTTCCCCTTAATCAGTCTTCATGGCAACTCCTACACTGGAGGAACAAAATGATTCACACCAGAGTTGTCTTTGCCTGCCCAGCTACTGAAGACAACAACAAGCTCCAGCAGGAAAGAGCAGCCTTTGTGCGTTGCCTTTAGCAAGCGCAGTACAAAAGGCACCAGACAAGAATGAATGAAGACAACGAAGGAGAGAATACAGGAGTGGATGAGCAATTAAAAGACCTTCTCAGCAACACTAGCACTCCAAGTTACATTGGAAATGCCGCTATTTGCAGAAAAATTGCAATTGTAAAAAAGCACCCAGGAAGACAACCAAAACATATAGGAGTGGGTGGCTGGGCACTTTGCATCTCTATATGCATTAAGCCAGTGTCTTAACTCTGTCTTTGTAAAGAGCATATGCATGCATTTGGTTACCTTAAAAGCCCAAGCCCAGACTGGAGTTCATGCTCATGGAAAAATATCTGCCCTTCTTGTTGCTTTACAGGGAGAGGTTCCTCCCAGAGCCAGCCAGGGCCTCTGCAGGGAGCAGCTTTCCCTGCTGCTAGCTGTCCCCAGAGGGCAATAGAAAGTCCCATCCCTCAACCTCCAGGTTGGGGACCACTGGGTTCATGTCCTACAATCCACATTACTACTGATGAACATGATAGGGGTGGGAGAAGAAAGTGAGAAGGAGAGGTGATGGTGCAGCCTACCATTTCTATTTTTATTTGAAAGGCTCATGCAGTCCTTAGCGAGGAAGAGGTGGCCCACCCCTGTTCCACACTGTTCCCTGATCAGGCAGCCGAGCTGCCCACAGCAGGGAACACAAGCAACTACTCCATGCCTACACTTCAGTCCCCAGGAGGAACCAGTATGCCACACCACAGGCAGGGCTCAGTCTCACACCTCAGTGACCCCCAATAGCCCTGCATACTTTTAGGCTACCAGAGTGCTACAAAAAGAGGTAGATCCAAGATCACTGAGTTTGCTTTCAGGTTTGCAGTGCTGGTGTGCCCAGCTGCCCAAATGAAAGGGCTAGGAACCCAAAGGATGTGTTTTCACAGACATGGTGCCTCCTTGGTGACAGTGTGAACTGGGGAGCTGTTATCTCCTTCTGGAACAACATGTTCCTGTTTTGCTTTGAGCATAAATCACGTCACAGCATCCTGAACAGATCCAACGCATGTTTCCTTCCAAAGGCTCCTAAGATCTTATTACCCAAAGGAAATTATATTTTAATTTCTGCAGTGATGCAGATGGGGTTCACCTTCCATCATTTACCAGACAGCAAATTTAAAATTTGTATGCTTTGCCGCAGGTGAATTCATAACAAAGAGAGGGTGTGGATATGTTTAAGTGATCAAAATAAGATATAGGCCAGCTGGCTAAACTGTGCCATCTGGGCCATTATTATTACGTATCTAATTATGCCTTCTGTAAGACAAATTTTGATGAAAATCCACAATAATGTTGGCTGCCAGGCTCTTATCAGATGTCTGCAGGTAATCTAATGCCAAACATTGCCGTCTCTGTAGGAGCAAACCTTCCTTTAGACACAGGTCTACCAAGCAGGGTCACTGTGAAGTGGCTCAGGACCTTCTGGATAAGCTGCAGGGAGAGGGGCAACAGCCAGGCTGCCTTGACAGACACAGCACAGCTCAGCAGATCCATTTCCCTGCTGGTGATCCATGGTAAATCCAGATATAAGTAGATGCATCAATTTCTTTTAAAGGCTGGACAGTGGAAGAGAGAAAGGGTTCTACATTGCCAAGCTGGAGGTGTGTAAACATCACTTACTCTCCACTAGATACCTGCTCTTTGATAGCTGAGTTCTGGCAATACATAGCTGTACAGAATCCTTCAGCCTGCCCTAGTTACTGCTGATAAATTAATTATTTCTGGCCATGGTGCCATGAAAGTAATAATCACTGCTGGAGCTGTGATGCTTCAAATGAAGGAGTCCACACTGGCACTGGTAACAAAGTGCCTCTGAGGGCAGTCCTGCTGCCCCTGGGAATGGATATTTTTGGGTTCATTTGCTGTTGGAGGTAATGTTAAAATAACTGTGACTTCCCAGTATCTTCTTATTCATAGTTATGGGAATTCCTGACATATTGCTGGATCTTACTTATAGCCCAACCAGGAAGAAGTGGAAAAGCAAAAGATGTTAACTTGAAAAGCAGAAGATACTTAACTTCAGATATGTGAGGTTTTCAAGGGACAAGAAATGAAGCAGTTCTCCCCCTTTTTTTTGTCTGACTGAATGACGACTTGCAGCAGCTTCCCCATGGGCTGCATTTACCTTTCACCAAATCAGTCTTCTTCAGCTTAATCTCAAAGTATTTTCAACATACACCCATTACGACCTGTATGTCTATCATGAAGTTAAAAAAAATAATAGAGCAAATATCAGGATTTTTCCTTATCAAAAAATCAAAACTATTTTTAAGCCCCCTGTGAGTTGGACACACACCTTCTACTGTAATATTATCTCAGAAAATAAGGTAAATAAGTAAGGGTCACAATGGGTGTGTGACATGGAACACTTTGATTATTTAATTCTGAATCCTTGTAACTCTGACAAGTTACAGTCTACTGACAAATAACTGGGCTTTTGTCCCCACTCCTCTGGGTCTTCAGTAGCCCAAGGAAAAACACAAACAAAGACCTTGCTGGACACTGGGATCCAGCAGCGCATCTTCATCTATGAACCCGCAAGCCAGACACATGTCATTGCAGAAGGGATGCAGCCAGCCAGGTGACTCTCCTGTTACTCAGCCTGCTTTCTGCTCATGCTCCCTGGCTCTCCCTGCCACTCCCTCTGAACACCTCCTAGGAACGCTGTTCCTACATGCTGCTGGAAAGGAAAGAAAAACAGCCTCCTTCTCTCCACTCTTTGAACAAGCTCATTTGGAGGGGAGGGAGTACTCCTGCTGCTCAACACAGCATGGAGAACTATTTCAACTATTTCAGAGACACTTTTTTTTTTTTTCCTCAAACTCACTGATGCTCAGGGTATGTCTGATTGCAATTAATGCTTTCATGCTTTGAAGACCACAAGAGAAATCATCTACAAGTGGGACTGAATAATGAATACAACAAACTGGTGCATTCTTCCTGTGCTGCCAGTCATGAAAGGTCTTCTAATTGAGTTACAGCTTTCACAGTAAGCTTTGGATCTTGCAAGGAAGCCAATGGTAGGAGGTAATTTGTACACTTTTATTTTGATTCAGTGACCTACAATTTTAACACAATTAGAAAAATTCAAAGGGTAAAACTACAATGTCTGTAGACAGATATACACAACAGAACTTCTCATATCCCTCGCATAACATGGGTATAGATTATAATTTAGCAATAGGAGTAAGTCACCACCAAAATATTTTTCATTTCATAAGAAATGCTAGCAAAGATCTGACTGACAGTTATAAACCACAAGTTAATTTGCAATTAAAATAACACAATAATAAAGTGTTATTCTGTGGTTCCATTGAGAGAGACACAGACTGAACAGTAAGAAGACGGCTCTCTCTCTTTTCTTTCTTCCCAAAGCGTTCGTGCTGATATGCATAAAGGATGGTGTCACATAGCAACACACTGATTCAACATGTGTGGTAGTAACAGTTTTCTTCAGAGAAGTCTGCTGACGTAGAAGTATTACTCACTGGTGATTACCTCTAATAACGGACAGGAATTAATTTCTCATGCTTACATGTGCTCACTTTTGCATTTTTTTTTTTAGTGAGGCTGTGAGGCATACATTTCATTGAAAAAAAAAAAAACTGAAAGAGGCAAACAAACAGCTGACAGTGCTCAGCAAGAACAAAGCTTTTAATCTGGCAAATGGGAGATGAATGATCCCGTGTGCTGGAATCAGGTTGTGGAGGATCTGACCATTTTCCATAAAGGCGTTGTTCTCAACACTTGGCACTGGCCATAACGCTTGGAGTAATACAAATAAATCAGCTTAATAAAGAAATAGATTTGATCAACTACTTGGAAGAGTCTGTGAAAATAGCCTCACAAGATGACTAGGAAGTCAAAATATAAAGGGAAATCCATATATGTAAAAGAAACAAAAAACACTGACACATTATTCTGAAACTTTATCTTTTTCCCACTGTACAAAGACTAAGATCAACTTCCATGAAACAAAAGTGGAGAGACAATGCTTTGGATTAATTAATTCTCAGTAAAGCATCTGTGATCCACTCCTTCCAGGAAGAAAAAGTCTTGAACACATCCTTGTGTGCACTGCTGGTTCAGGGTGCCATCTCATGGGGACACAGATAATATTATTTTTCCTTTGTCACTGACGGCCGCAGATACTGCACCAGCTTCTTTTGCCAGGCTGGAACTGTGACTCAGAAAAAATGGAAACACACTCACAGTTGCCATGTGTCCTCGTTTTGGATAGGACAGAGTTAACTTTCTTCATAGCTAGTAAGAAGCCATGCTCTGGATTTGTGCTGAGAAGAAGGCTGACAACATATTGATGTTTATAGTTGCTGCCAGAACAGTCAAGGACTTTTCAGCTTCTCTGCTGTGCCAGTGTCTGCAGGTGCTATAAAAGCTAGGAAGGAGCACATCCCATAATTACTGGCTTAAGATTCGATCTTAGGTTTAGGATTGAGACCCATATTGGCAAATAGTATATTCTGTATCATGCACATCATGCCCAGTATATAGATAAGGCTCTGTCTGGAAGTGTTCTCTCTCTCGGGGTTGGCTCTCACTCTCTTGGTTGGCTCTTGTTCTCCCGGACGCTTGGGCTCTTACCTGTTTTCTGAGATTGTGGTTTCGGGACTGTCCCTGCTCTTGGATCGTTAGCCGGGAATGGGCTGAGCCTTGGTCAACAGGTGGTGAGCCGTTGCACTGTGTATCACTCAGTTGTATATTTGTATATGTTACTATTATCATTATTCCTATATTATTATTTTCAATTTTATTGTGGTTTAGTA